TTACATTCTAGTCTTCAGTCCTCTGCTTAAATCATTTGAAGCAGCTTATGTACAGAACAGCTGCTGCTCTTAATCCACAGTGTAAAAAATTCCAAACCAAGTAAAGACATCTGAATTTTCTTTTAAGAAATTTTTTTTGGGGGGGGGGGGCGGGGGGAGGACCAGAATTTCAAAAAGATGTGGCACCTTGATGCCTTACAACAGGGGTGTCAAACTCACATCAGGACTTCACCTTTGCTAAACCGGGCAGGGCCAACATGTGATGCATCCAGCCTAGGGCTGCAAGTTTGACACCCCCTGCCTTACAGCGTTAATGTGGAAATTAAAGTAAAAAAGGCAGCTGGTTTTGGAGTGATGTGCTTCTGGCACAGATGGAGGAAATAATGGGATTCTCTTTCTGCTAGGAAATTTGCAAGATTCAAATCCAGTTTAGCAACCATGATTAATGATGACTACAAGTAACAAGGCCTTGAAAAAAATATGCTTTCTGCACACACACACAAGTTTGCCCATCATCTTGCATGCTATATGCATAGTTTTAGAAAATGGCCCCAAATCACAGGTATGTGAAAACTGTTGCCATTGAAGTCTGGTCTCTTTTTAACAGATATATGAAACCACAGATAATGAAACCATGATTTAATAAGGGCCATCTGTGCATTTGTGCAGGTCAGATTCATTTCAACACATGCATATTGAAAACTTATTGATTGGCACTGAATAAAAGTTTGTTTTAATAACTTAAAAGGGGAAGTTTAATCTTTAGTGCTGGTCTCACTGCTATAAACAATAAGTATAATATCTTCCACTTTAGCAGGTGCACAGGGAATCTTATGCAGATCTGAGTGGAGGTCATCAAGTGAGACATGATGAAATATATGAAAAAGGCAAAAAGCATGTTCACAGAAAAACAATGTTACTGCTTAAAGCCCTGTCTTATAACAGCTGAATTAGCTTTTAAGTTATTTTATACTCTGGGCTGGTATGCCTGAGGGATATAGATATACAAAGCCCCTTTTGAGTTAAGGTCAACTCCTGATGATGTTATGAATGCATCCTTCTTTGCAACAAGATGGAAGTGGTTTGCAATTGCTTTCACCCAGAATATTTCTGACTTCACAATCTAGTTCACAACCTTGGTAGTCTCCTATCCAACTACTAATCAAATCAATCAGAGTGGGCATTTTCAAGGTGAGCCAAAGTTAGATAAGTATTAAGCCAGACATTATACAGAATAGAAAATTGAGGCATGCATGCAGTCCGCAACTAACTTGCTTCTATGTCAAAATGAAGGGCTAGATAGGAATACAAAAGGTAGAGAAGCAGAGAGAAATCTTGTCAGAGATAGGCAACCTGGCACCCCCTGGTGGTATGGACCAACATTTACCAATTCCAGTCTATATGGTCAATAAGAGAGAATAGTTAATAAAAATGTCAAGAGGACATCAGATTGTCAGCCTTCCTGAACATGCAAGCACTGTGAACGTGCATGCCAAGCTATGTTTTTTCAGAGTGTTTTCACAGAGGAAAGCACAATTTCTTCACTGTAAGATTTGGCCTCACTTATTTTTAATAGTCAGAATAGCTGACTAGAACCATACATGGATATGAAGCAGAATGGCATTTTTATCCTTTGTTGTTCCTAAGACTGGAACCAGTTTTTATATTGGATTGTTCATGCAATTTGCTTATTCAACTACCATAGAAGGCATCCTGGCAAAGGATTTAGCATTCAAAACATGGATTAAATGGCAAATAACAAATCAGATACAAACATTGTTTTTCAGCTTTCATATGTTTGCGTGGAACTTTAGAACATGCAATTTTATCTCCATAAATATTCTGAGTGACAAAGGAGAAATGCACCTCCATGCAAAATTGAAGAGAAAAATACCTGCACTCATTTGAATGATGTCTCAGTTTAGGTCTACCTCTAATAATAATAATAATATATCCCAAGGCTGTAAGACAAATTATAGATTAGTGTGCACTGAAGAGTGGCCAATTCCCATTTTTCAGCTGAGTCTTGCATTTCAGTACTTATTTCTATATTTAAGGTAAAAGATTGGAATTGCTGAATGAACTAGTAATACGCTTTTTGCTAGACTCCAAGCATTCAGACTGAATGTGTTGCAGCTGGTCTTGTTGTTGTTGTTGCTAACAATGGATACAGTGAGTTTTCTTGCAAACACAAGACTTTGTACAAAGGGAAGGGAGAGTCACATAAGGGTTTTTTTCATCCCCAGATGGCCTTTGATTGCACATATTCACAGAATGCAACCATTAATTTCCATAGGAGATCCATATGTTCTTATAATACAAATATCTGGGATTTTCCTTTGCAGAAAATGTTACTAAAAGAGGTGTGTGAGACATCAGCTGGGATCTCACATATACTAAACCACAGTTGTGGTATACTGAATAAAACATAAATAGCTTTGGCCAACATACTAAACCAGAAATCATGGTTTGCAAACCACATAATACGTTAAGCAAAACACTCACTGCAATAACTAAGTGTTACCTAGGGAATTACTGCTTTCTTAGCACAGTATCTCATATAATTTGTCTGTTAGCTATAGTTTGGAAGGAAGTCATACTTTTGTTTTCTGGACTCTAGGAAACTTAGAGACAAACTGGAGATTTTGGATCTGTTGCACAACTGTGCACAAGACAATTTTTCATGCTGGGAGCGGGGTTGGTTCAAACTGCAGAAGGATTTTTTTTTAGTACTCCACTAGTATTGGAAACTGGTTAGAAGGCTAATATGGTACTAACATTGTTTTGCAGGTGTGATTTTGCATCTTGCCAATTATGTCAGTCTGTAGTCTGAAACAACCTACTCTAAGACCCTGAAAACAGTTTTGCCTAGAGCTGGCAAAAGATTTGGCAGTGATTAAGTCATCAGACTAGAAACCAGGAAGCCATAAATTCTAGTCCCATTTTAGGCATGAAAGCCAACTGGGTGACTTTGGGCCAGTCACACCCTTTCAGCTCACCTCACCTCACAGGGTGATGGTTGTTGGGAAAATAGGAGGAAGAAGGAACATGTTCAAGTTGCATTATTTATAAAAATAACATATAAAACAAAATCAACCCTGCCTTCTCTTGTACTCCTCTACTTGATGTGTAGAAATTACCAGATGAAGCTTTTCATGTCTTTGAGATAAAACGTTAACCTCTACATGGCTGTCATATTACAGGGAAAGGCAGAGGTCCACTGAATTATTGGAAAGCCAGCAGCCCTATTTTGAACTAACAGAATCATTTTATGAGAGCATTTCAGGACTATATTTTTTTTTGTGTGCTGGCCAATTTGTCTCCTCCATTGTCGCTCTTCCCTATTCTGTCCACCCACCCTCCTTTTCATGCTTTATTGTATCTCCTGGATACATTGGAGTGCCTTTGCAGATTCATATTATGGCTTAGGATTCCAGCTGCACTATTCATACCATGTTCAAGCATATTTAATATTGTGTAAGATTTAAGAAGGCAGTGAATAGGTCCTCTACTGGGTTATCTACCTGGAGCAGAAAACTGGTTATTTACATAAACTGACCAGGTTCATACAGTGCAGTAAATCATGGCTGTTTCATTTTTTTTAAACAATGCTGTTTGTAGAAACCAAATTGTGCCAAGCCACAAACCTTGATTTACATGGTAAACTAAAAACCAGGAAAAACCACACTATGATTTAGCATGATGTGTGAACCGAGCTAAAATACACACCCATACCACCATAAAACTATAGTTGACTTCTCTTCCCTTTGGCAGAACATTTAAAAGCACATTATATGATTCTATCTGAACTACAACGGTGCCAACTCTGATTTAACTATGCTACGGGGAACAATCAGATACATATTCTAAACGCCTGTTTATTATTTAGGAGAATTCCAAGTCATTCCATCTAGCTGAATAGTATGAAATTGAGAATAAACAAAAATAAATCCTTCTTCATGCAGCATGTAGTTATATTGGCATTTCTTTCCACAACATGGAGAAAGTAAAGCTATGTAAAGTTTTGACTTCAATAGAGATTTTCATAAAGCACTTTTGGAAAGCAATGTGATCCTAATGGTTCTAAGAGTGAAGTAACCATGTTGGTTCACCTCACCATACTGTGTACAGAGCTTTGTCTGTGGTAAAAGCTGAGAGGAGTTCCCTGTGGGAGTGCTACAGGAGAAGATTGAAAGGAGCTTTCTCCCACCATACTGCTCAAGGGCTTCTTGATATGGAAGTTTCAATGACTACTGAGATAGATTACAGTGTGCATTCAAAGTAGTCAACCTGGAGCCTAGGTTGGTGGTCTGCCAGATCATTTCTGAATGTAGTTTCAAGGAGATAAGTGATGTCTTCTCTTGCAACCCTAGTCCATGGTGCTTATCAGATCCAAACTCTCTGTCAGAACCCCCACACTGAGGTCTTCCAGGCCAGGAAGTTCTAGGGGACAATGGGGACAATTCAAAAACTGCCCATCCTATTGAGAAATATCTAAGAATAATCTTTTCCTTTAATCTGACCACCCAAATGGTTTTGTTGAGGCAATACGGGTCATGATTCACTTCAGCTTGGGTGGAATGAGTCATATTGTCTCTGCAGTGTGAACTGTTTCACTGACATGAATCTAAGTCTCATCACCTACAGCTTGTATAAAAGGGATCAGATAAGCTGATGGGACAAATAAGAATGTCAGTAATTACTAATTATGCTGACTATATGCCACCCTGAAGATCAGAGGTTTTATGCCATTAATACTTGCTCTTGGGGAATAGGAGCAGGGGTGCAAGATAGGTTGGACTGAGAGAGAATGGCTGCTCCAAAGAACCAGCCAGCTTTTTTTTAAAAAAAATATTTTTATGACTGTATGCCATTTGCTTCTGTATTTCTATGTATGTTTGTACCATATAAAATTAACAGTGAAATTTAACAAGGAATCCCTTGTTAATTTTGTTACTTTCACAATATTTCTGCAATAAGTATAATGAGGTGATTGAAAACATATCGTAGTTAGGATCCAAAGGGCAACCCCATGATGGCTTCTCCTTTCTGCTGGTAAGGTGAACACATAAAAAGATGTGAGATGAGGATATTGGCAACAGCAACAATGCAAGACTCATGATCAGCAGGGTAACAACATTAACCAATGAATATGGGAAAATAGGAAGCAGCAACGTATTTATTCAGACCACTGGACCATTTAGTGCAATGTTTTTGGTAGCAAATCTCCAGAGATTCAAACTAACCCAAACTTCAGTGCTATAGGGGGCAGGTGGAATCCTTTGCATGTAAAATGTTATGGCCCTCACTTTAATACTAAACAATTACAATTAACTGGACAGTAGATTTTTTTAAAAAATATACTGTTTCTGTAAAATCTACAGAGGCTAAGTGGCATCTTAAGAGACATCCCTCATTCTCTTCCTAGGAAATATAAGTTAAGGCCGTCTCCAGTTTCGATGTGCATCTCTGCATACAAGGCTTCAAATACATCAGTATTTTGTCAGATAAATATCCTATTAGCATAATGATGATCAATGGGAAAGGTTGAGTAGAAAATCTGGATTGTGCATATTATATAAATTCAATAAGAAGTTAACTGGCTAATAAAATTAGTCAATTACCTTTTTTCAATCAGATGGCAATCCTAAGCGTGATGTATGTAAAAACACAGGAAGGAGAATGGCACATAGCTGCTGCTACCTTTGGATGGTAAGTCATTTTTCATACCTTCTTATATTATTCTTTTTATTTTTGTGCTTAACACAGACTATTTTTCAACAAAGACATACTCAAATAAGGAGTAGCATTTGTTGAAAACACCTATGTCAGGACATTTTTGATATATATACATATATATATATATATAAATCATATATACAATATAAATATAGTCATATATTTTAAAAACATATTTTAGCTCTAAATGTGAATACTTCATTTCTCCAGCCTGAGCATACATTGGATAATGGCGGTCATTTAACCAACTTTCCAGTTTTAAATGGACTCCTTAGCAGTTGCCATGATTCTTGAAGAATTTATACAAGATAAAGATTTGCTGGGAATGGGGATGGAACCACTGAAAAAAATGCAATCTGTCAACTTAGCTGCACTGCAGGCAAGGAGAACTTAAATTGGCGGTGGGCGATCGTGTCTCAGCATTAAGTTGAAGGAGTGTGCAAAGTTGTTGGTGAGCTTGCAACTGTGTGTTTCCTCTGTTAGCGGGAGCAGAAAGGCAAGGAGTAGCAGAAGCAACAGCAGCAACTGGAGGGGTAAAGCTGCACAGCACACACGACGTAGGAAGGAACATGCACTTACTGGTCGACCCTGAAAGACAGAAGCCACAGGCATTAATGGAAGCTAATACCTGAATCTAAACTGAATCAGATATTTCCTAGACAATGGAAACATAAAATAATATGGGCGTTCTCTTCTCAGGGCAAGCTCAGCCTTTTGGCTAGTTGTGCTGAGCATGAACTGCTTTGTAGGGTATTGAGACAGCATGATAAATACCATATCCATTTTTCAAAATGTGACAGCATTCACAGTACACTAAACTTAATCATTATTACTAATATTACTATTTAAAGATTAAAATCTGAAATAATCCCAAAGATGTTCTATGAGCATGACAACAACATCATGTGACATTTTGTTTTAGGTCTTTGGAATTTCAAGATTCTCATGTGAAATTTTATTTACTGAAATCTTGTGAGATTTGTTTGGGTTTGGGCTGTTTTTTATTTTGTTTTGATTATTATTATTTTTTGCAGGGGCTGCGGATCTGAAAATTTTACTAAGTCTTTCATAAATGGATTTAGAGGATAGCTCTGCAATTGCTCCAAAGTTTTAATTTTAAGTAGAGATGTGAATTTTGATAACATCATCATCAAATTTACTTTACGCAGAAGAACATCATTAAGGTAGCCCAACATGGTCATAATAAAACACAATTAAGTTAATTCTTAGTTAAAATGAAAAAGCTGAAAGGGTAAGTCAAGACAATCAAATTTCTCTAGAACACTTGTGGGATCACTCAAAACTACAATAATATTCTAACTTAAACAATATATCCCTTGTCAGGAAATAGATCACAAAATCCAAAAACCCATCAGCATGAATAATCAGCAAAGTCTTTAAAATGCGTCACTAAAATCTGTTGAGCAAAACAAATTTAGAAAACTTTACAAAATGGAAATTTGAAACAACCTCTTCCTCAAATGAAATACAATTTTTCATAGCAAAAGAGCAATAAAGGATTAAAAAAAAAAGATTTTGAAGAAGGTAGTACCTAACACTCATCTTGATACCTTGATTTAGCCAACACTGACAACTTCTTCACTACCTCTTTTTTTGTGGAAGGTTGTTGAGAAGGTGGTAGAGGCTCCCTTATCAGTATTCCTACTATTTAGCATTCAGTATAATCCCAAACACAGGATAAAAACATTAGGCACTTTGGTAGATAATTTTTGTTAGAGCATAAGTGGGCAAGTTGTGTGTTTTGGTTCTGATAGTCTACTTAGCAGCATTTGCTATTTAGCAGCATGTTATTGATTGAACACATATCTTCTGTTTCACCTGCAAGAGGTGAAAGTTGGGGTACCCTTTATGGTTCCAGGTGGTAATTATTATTAAGAAGAACTCCAGCATTTGGTTATTCCAGTATGAAGGTATTTGGAAGATATCTAGTGGTTGGTCTTTGCCACCCAAGGTTGTGCCATAAATGCTGTTGAAACTGAAGATGTCCAGAATTGGATGATACCATACAAACCCAAATTACCACCTTCCAGGACAATGTTGTTCAGCCAGCATTAGGGCATGTTGTAACACCACTCCTAGAAGTTACTTTGTATGAGTAGCCCTCTCTCTTAAGCAGTTCATGGGCTTAGTGGTCCTCTTGGACTCAGGTTCCTATACAAGCAGCAGGTCAAACCTGTGCCAGGGAAATATTTGCCCGGCTGATGCAACCAATTATGATTTCCTCTAGTCAATGATACCCATATCTTAGGGATAGATAGTAACTCCTGCCTTCAGCTGGGCAGCTGTAGTAATGTAAGTTACTACATCTCTTGGAGATGACTCAGCATCTGCAACTGTACAGAATGGAGTAACCAGAATGCTGGAGGGCCAAGCCCATCACTGCAAAATAGCACCAATTCTGAGATTGCTGCCTAGGCTCCAAGTAAACATCTGAGTCCAATTCAAAGTGCTAGTTATCACCTTTAGAAATCACTATGGTATAGTTCTGTGTTATATCAGGCATAGCCTTACCAGAATTGAATCTGTCACTCTGGTCTGAACATCAAGAAGAGGCCTGCAAACAATGCTTTACCCATTAGAAATGCATGGGAATTGGGCTAGGTGACCAATCTTCTCCAGTATATGTGCACTCCTGGCCTAGAACATGCTTTCTCAAGAGGTATGTTCAACCCCCCCCCCCCGCCTTCTCGCATTCCACAAGAATGTTAAAACTATACTACTCCATTGGGTGTTCATCTTAAATTATTATGAGCATTTCTTTTGGACACATATTACTGTTTCTATTTGGCTATTACTATTTCGGTTTTGATTTCTTTGCTGCCCAGAGTCTTAATTGACAGGAGTGGCCTTATAAATACTGTAAAGGACAAAAATAAACACTGTTTCTTCTCTGGCTCAATTTGATTAACTGCTATCTCTTCAGCTGATGCAATTTCCCCTTAAAAACCCTGCGCATTAGATGCCTTGTAAGTTTATAGGGAATTTGATTTTTAATCAACTTTCAACAATTGCTGAATAATGCAAGCCTTTTTAAAAATTATATTGGATAGTATCCTCTGTATGAATACTGTAAGCAAAGCTTCTGTAGTGGCCTACCCCACAGCCTTTAGAAAACAAGTAATGAACATAAAAGGCAAACATTTCTGGGGTGCCTACAACCTCTTTCCAGCAGTCAAAAACCTGGATCAACTCAGGATTAGCTTGCCAGGCCTTCAGTCTCTAAGAAAACATTCTGTATTATGAAATAACTTTTCCAGACAATTTTTCTGCCTTGAGGGAAAACACTGGATTCTTAAAAAAATATTCATTTTGTGATTGCCAAGTGCTGGCTACAGTATTTTCCAAAAGGTTTTCATGCCAAGCAGGAACTTAATTATATAGAAGTGCACGTTTCACACTTTTTCCTCCTGCCAGAAATGTTTCTTTCTTGTATGCATTTCCTGCATTTGAGGCATCATTCAAGTTGGCTTGTTTAGCCTCAGAAATACTTGATTGGGCAGCAGAAAGTCCCCCCCCCTTATAATCTTTTAAAATTATTATTCTTGTACAATCTTATATTTTTCAGGCTGCCAGGGAACAAAAAAAAAAAAAGGAAGTGGAACAGATGGTGAAATTTGAACTCAATTCAGTAGTCTTGGCTATGTATGCTGCTTAGCGATGGCTCATTTTAATAAAGTTATATGAAAAGAAATCAAATCATGATTTCTTTTAACAACAGCAGATTTAACAACAGCAGAAATGCAAACTATAAATCATCACAATGTCATGTAGTAACACCTTTTACACATTGAATTCAGTGGTATCACAAAAGGTGTCATTGGAGGCTACATTTGCTGTTTTATTTATTTTACTTTATTTTTCATTTTATTTATTTGTGTCCTGCCTTTATTATTTTTATAAATAACTCAGTTAGTTATAAAAATAATAAGGCATGAGGATATCCAACACACCTTCCTCCTCCTATTTTCCACACTACAGCCTGTGAGGTTGGTTTGGCCTGAGAGAGAATGACTGATCCAAAGTCATCCAGTGGCTTTCCTGGCTAAGGTGGGACTTTAACTCATGGTCTCTCACTTTCTAGCCTGTCGCCTTAATCACTTGACCAAACTGGCTCTAAGTAGCTAATCTCTGAGGAGCTAAGAGTGACTCTAATCTTCTCTGCCTCTGACTTGGTTGCTTGACCAAACCTTTTCCTGGAGGGGAAATTCTGCAGCTTGCTTGTCACAGAATAGGAGCAAGGGGACAGCAGGGGAAATAGTGGCTACTTTTGCATAATCATATCTTAAAGTGAATGAGGTTATATGAATTATTTGGCTAGTGTATGCACCACCTGAGAAAGTTTCTATTGATTATAATTTCTCATTTTTCTGGAAAACCTAACTGAACTGTTTTGGAATAAACCGGGCCTTTCTATTTGTACAACTCAAAGCACACTGCACTAATTCTATAAATGGATAGACAAGTTTCAGGAGTTGGCCTACCAATCTCTAGGGCCATACTATAAATAACATTTTCCAGATTCACTGCTTCTATGGGATGGCTATGCTCTAAGGCAAGGAATATTTCCAAAGTGTATACTGTAGCAGCTTCTCATGACCTAGAGCCCTTCTTATGTGTTGAGAGCGCATTTACATGGCTTTGGGGATTCTGGAAGCTGTGGTCCCAAACATCTGTCAGGAATTAGGATGAAGAATGTTTGATTCATAAGATGTTGAAGAAATAGAAATCAAAATATCCATCCATTTCAATTTGACAGTGTTGTTTAGACAGTGCAGGGAAAATATTGCAACAAGGGGGGTAGGGGAATTCCAAGTTCAAAAGGACTATAATGCCTTCTCTCAGGTAAAGTTCTCAGCAGAGAAATGAAATATTCCCATGCTTTAAAGGTTATGCTATTTTGGGTCCATTGCCCTTCCTGTGTTTCCTTTATTCTTGATGAAATTTCAGAGTGAGTGAGTCTTAACTTCAAACAGAGCTTGGGAAACTTCAATAAAACATGCAAAGCATCTGAATCAAAGTTGTCTTAATCTTGAAGCATAAGAGGCAGATGCTCGTAGAATGACCTATCTCTTGAACACTGAATTCTTGATGTGCTGGTAATAATCTCTTGTATTTTCTTTGCAATACCAATCCTGAATCTCACTGAGGTTTTTAAAAACGTAATGACCTTTATGTCCTTGACAACTGGACATCAATTTAAGTGAATAATTTAGGCAGTTAGTTTCTTAACTCATTTGCTCTTGGGACCCAAGAAGAAAACATCAAATGGTTAAGCTGTCAGCAATAGAATTTTTGCAAACAACCTTGACCTAAAAGTCTTTTGGAGTGGGGGGTGGCTATACTAAATGTAAATGAGGAAGAGGAGGAGTAGGCAAGAGGCAAAATAAGAAAAAAAGAATACGAACTAACGATTTGAGTTCGTATCATCACTATATTCACATTTATAGCTTTGCAAGACAAATTTGATCAGCAGATGGAGGGAAATTATGGAACATGAATTCCAGCAAATTGGGAACTGGAATAGAAGACATTTGTGATGACCCGGAGTATAACACAAACATAACAAA